ACTATATATATATATATATATATATATATATATATATTACGATCATGAATATATAAGTTTAAAATTGCTAAATTCTTTTTGTAATCTTTAGATAAAGATTATATTATAAAATATCAAGGTACTTATCTAAAAACCTTCCTTTTTCTAGAGAAAATACTATATACCGCTTTCTATTTAATGAAATTTTGATCAATTATTATACAGCATATGTGATAACATTCAGGTGCCAATGGATTTTTGGTAAACCAAGGATAGGAGAAAGGTAGGTTGAAGTGGGTGTACAATCATGTCTTTCCCTTATTTAGTTAGTGATATTGTCATCGTTACTTCTGACATGAGAAGCTATACTGAAAAATAAGCATTACTGCTCTAAAAAAATTAATTTTATATATTTCTAATTGCAATATTAACAATATATCTTTTTATTTTTACTGACAAATACATTTCAAATTTTATATATTTCATTTATATAAAAAAGATCATAACACAAAATTATTAAAATAATTACCGCCAGCAGCTTCTTACATCTCAGCCTGTAATAATATTTATATTTTTAAACAAAATTATTGTGCACAAAAAGATCATATATCTACAAATAAAGCATACAATAAAAGTTACTTACAAGATCACTAAAATTAAAATTACATGCATCAGGTAAAGTGACATTTTGTGATTGATCGCTATTGTCATTTACATCATCTTTCTCCTTTTCTTTAATTGTCTGCGTCTGCGCGACATTGTTACCATCAGATTGTTTATTATCATCTTCTGATGATCCTTTACGCCTAAAAGAACGTATATTTATCAAACAACAATTTTAGTAATTCAAAATGTTTATTTTTACTTGTTTAAGAATAAACTTACTTTCTAAGAGGTTTCTTTTTTTCTAAAGAAAATAAGTTTTTAATTCTTTCAGTCACTGGTTTGCATTTTTCCCTTATAAATTCAGGTTGCTCTAAAAGATTTAGCACATCGTCAGCGATAGGTGGCAACGATTTATCCGGATTAAGTGCGCGAGCTGCTAATGTATCCCACATGTGTTGTGCTCCAGGATCTGGCATATATCCTGGTAAATATTTCTCACTAATGTTAGTAGCATCATCTGCATTGCTGAACAAATTCAGTAAATAAATATTCTATGAATATTATGAAAAATATAATATTGTTTTTTCCTCATACAATTTGTTATATATCAAATATATATAATGATATTTATATGATGATATTCTTACACATCGGGCAATTCTAAGGACTTTAATAAATCATCCATGGCCTCATCCTGCTCCTTCGATAATTGTTTCATTACAAATTTCAAGGGTTTCTGTGCTATTGCTCCGTAATCTCGCTCGAATGGCAAACCGATTTCAATAAGACACTGTCATAAATTAATATCGTTAACGCAATTGATAGCAATAGAAAGGTATAAGGAGGAAAATATTTCTAACCCAAGGTTCATTCGGTACGTCAACACTTGGAAATAATGCCACCATGTTAGCTTCGGTATTCGCCCTATGAACTTTCTCAACTATTGCGACGACATTCTTATCAACCATGGCTTGCACCAGGCTATAAAACGGTGCACTTACCGACTGCAAAAAATTTCTCATTAATTTTTATTGCTACTTTACGAGTATTATGTAACAAAAAAATCCTCTGCATACCTCGTTAGCAGGAACAATAACATATGAGCCATCCGACAACCAATACTCCATAGGAACGTTTTCCTTTGCAGTGAAACCATGGATCCTATAACATTTCTGATTATTTTTGGGTGTCATTGCTTTCTTAGCTTCATCTGAAATTAGTGCATCGATTATTCGAATCTATATTATGAGCAAAGTATTAGAGCAAAATGTATTATAAAATTGAATGACTTACCTGAAACAGGAATAATCTTGCCACCGTACACATAGCCACGAATAATGTCCTCTTGTGTATGAACAGTTCTATTGTTATCAGTCCACTGTGCGACATTCTTAATTGGCACTTCTTGATCGGGTGCATCAGATGTGCTCATCTTAGCTATTAATACCATTTCTGGTAATTTCACTTCAGTTGGCATCTTGTAATGTAAATGATACAATAATAATATATATTTAAAATAATATGGTAATATATATTTAAAAAATATGTAATTCTTTTATGTATACAAAGTTTTACTTTAGAAATTCCAACGATCGGTATGCGAAAATCGCCTAACTCCATCTGACAGTACCACAGGAATGGTTTAGTCGATGGCCGTTTGTAGAAACGTACATCTGACATAGCATGCTCAAAAGTGAGATATTGACCGTCAATCTAAAACGTAAAATATTATACAATTATTAAATATTATGGATGTCTTTCTTCTATAAGTTATTCGCTCAAATTACCTTTTGCAGAACTTCTCTAAGCAATATCTCACTAGCTGTTTGAGAATTCTCATCTGTATTCAATGCTTTCTCTCCACTGTAATGTAATTTTTTTACTTTAATTTATATTTTTATTCTAATTCCATATTATAACATTTATCTCAATTTCTAGTTACTATCATTACAATAACTGTGATAGCAAAATTAAAAAATTAATACATTGCTATGAGTGAAATGTTCTCTGAACTTAATGCCTCTGCAATATCCTCAGCTCGAAATTTGCCAACGATGTCTTCTTCCTCATCAAAAGCAGACAACAAGATTATTTTCCTTTCAGATTTATCTCTAAAATAAGAAATAAATTTAATATATTGACCGAAAGTTGATATGTTACATTTAATATTTACATGCATTCATGTTTGATATATTCAACTGCGCCATAAATTGCATCCATCCAAGAACTACTCTGATCTGTGACTTGCAGTTTCTCAATACTTTTTATTAAATCCCAATTTCCAATCTGCATATTACACAACTCTTGTATATTATCCAATCCTGTAATACTGTCGCTGTCATTGTTATCTGTGCCCATTAATATAACTCCTATTTCATCCTTGGGACGCAGGAATATCTATATAATTTTCCATTATTTTTAAAATTAACAGAAATACAAATACAATCTGTTAGATACTAAATAATAATAACATTATATAATCAATATAATCAATATAATAATTTTCTATACTCTACAATATAAATAATATATAACACATGTTGTATGGGACAATTATATTGTTGAGTAGGAAATTATCAGAGTTGGAATGTAATGTATTGTTTATAATATCATTATTGTTATAGTTATTTTTCTTCAATAATAAATTGGTAACATATAAATATATTTTCACAATATTCCTCATTCTCAGAATCTGTGCTGTCAGGGTAGTATAGATATAAATTCTAAAAAAAATCTTCAAAATTTAATAAAAAGATAATAGACATTATAATGACTCATTAACTCTCAAATAATAACAAATTTTTTTAATAAGTAATGTATACTGATAAAAAATTTTTAAAAAATTTTTAATTTTCTCAATTTTAAAAGTTATAATATTAATATAACGTAACTATTATAATATTTATTGGAGAATGATTGGAAGATGTCATTGTGATAAAGAAAATACCTTCTTCTGGATAATGTGTTTAAGAATAAACTTTTCCTTATCCAGCAATTGTGTGCCATAACGAGTAACTCCAACATTCACCAGAAAAATTAAACTCTCCTATAAAATATAAAGATTCAAATATTTTATAATTCAAATAAATAAAAATATTATGCAATATTCATTAAATAAAAATTTCTCGAAAACATATGTATAACACAATCTGCCTTACTGCCTTGATTCTAATATTCACTTCACCTTATCGCCAGCTTATCGTTTTATCGAACAAGATTCTTTAATTAATAAAATCTTATTAGAATATAACCTTTAATTTCCTTGGTGGCATTTTTCTTTGCTAAAACACTCGTTTCCAACAGAAATAATTCTCTATCGATGCAACTCGGGATTCAACTGCTGTTCGACGTATAAAATTGTCTAGAATCTTGTAAAATTCTAGGATGTGTATATACCGGGCAGTTTCATTCAAATGTTAATGCCAAACATAATCTGGCTGACATATCACGTGACACGCTCAATACGTACATGTGCATCACGTCATACGTCAGTTTTGTATTCGTTTACTTACGTGGTTTACGGGTCGTGTCGCAAACCTCTTTATGCAATCGTTTTCTGAATAAAACATGAAAATGATATTTCTAAACGGACAATTTATTTTACTAATAATTCTGGGTTTACTATCAATCCGCACCAGTGTAGGAGAAAATAAATATTCTGCCGAAGCAAATAAGCCTAAATATGCAGAGTCTTCACAAATCCCGACGTCCCTCCGGGACTTGGATAAACCGTTCAGGATGGCCAAGTTAAATGTGCTCTGGGTTAAGGCGAAGAATGTAAGTAATGAACTGTGTATAAAACAGAATTATAAATTTTTATGTCTAATTTTATATATATTCGCTTTAATGTCTGCCAAATATTAAATTGCAGTCAATTTTTAGTAATAAATATTTTACGTAAACTTATGTTTCTAATTTTATGTACATACGTTTCAGCGTTTGACCGATACCAAGCTACAATCAATTTTCAGTGAGTTGAAGATTCATGATAAGGAAGAGATCGCATACAAGCATTTTAAATCAGATGGAAAGGATCCTGATGGCTTAGAAGAAGCCCGTCTAAGGCAGAAGTTCATCGGTAACTTTTATATCACCTAGCTATTTTCATTTCTAGCTATTTTATTTTGTTTAATCCTATATAATTTTATCTCAAAGGAATAATGAGTACATATGACTTACTGGAACATTTCGTGGAAACTGAAGATCCAAAATTACTCAAAATGCATAAAGCACTGAATGATGGTAGCAATTATGTTTCTAAAGATGTATTTGGCGATATAAAACTCAACAAATTATGGGCTAAAGCTGAGATGGCTGGTTTTACTGGTAAGTAGAATTTGGATATAATTAAGTATTTATACATATATTTATTTATATTCATATATTTTAGATGAGGAGCTTGAGACTTTAAAACAAGAATTTCAACATCATCAGGAAAAAATAGATGAGTATATGAATTTACTAAAAGGCCAGTCTAAAGATCCAGAGAATTCTGAAAGTTAGTTTTTTTATATCTGTATTTAATATATACAGCTTTAACAATGTTATTTTTATATCTATATGTTTTATCTGAGTCGGAGA